TATATATATATATATGTATGTACAGTCGTCAATCCAAATAAAATCAATTGTTACGTTCAATTTTGTTTACTCATAGTTTATAAACTGAAAGCATAAAAAAAATGATAACGAGATTGTTTAGTTCCAACACTTAGTTTTTTTTAAACTAAAAATAAAATTAAATGTTGGGCCCCCTCCAAAATTTTAACTTATATTCGCCACTGATTGGCAAACACATTTATGTCACTGATCCTTAAGCGAGTTAATAATTTTATATTCTTATTCACTAATAAACTTTATTTGTTTATTTTTTATAAGTACCATAGCCGCGCATCATACAGATTTTCTGCCATTAATTTTGAAATATGAAAGTTACATACTGAATTCACTGAAAATTATTGCTTGTATTCCTTTGTGATATATTTTGTATATTCTACGAAAAAAAAACTTTTCTATAGTTCTGCATGAAAAATCAAGACATAAAATATTACGAGTAAATTTATTTTATTAGGTTCAATTTGATACAAAGTTTATCTTGAAATGTGAAGCAAGTATTTCTTATAAAATTTTTAAAGAAACCAAACGGAAAAGCAGATGAAAGAGTTCGTTTTATGCTATTGTCATTCGAAAACCGCCTTTTTTCAACCGCTTTCTTCATAAAAATTAACATAATACCTGGAAAAGTAGCCAAGACTCAACAAGATTCTCATGAGTTACACGCAATATTTTATTTCTTACTTATCCTTGCAAAACCATAGAAAATAAAAGTTATTTTTTAAAATATTTTTTAGTTATTTTATTTCATTCTTTTTTGCCATAGTCTTTGGAGAGAGAAAAATTGCACTTTTTTTTTTTTTTTTTTTGCAATGGTTTGCAGTAGCAGGATTCGCACGCACCTGAAATANTTTTTTAGCAATGGTTTTTTTTGTCTTTGTAAGTTTGGTACAGATAGTAAACCTCGATTCAAAGTCAAATGTATTCGTATTTCTATATAGAAATAAGAAATATTTCTTATAACTAGGGAGAAAACCTTACGTAAATCTATTCACCTACTCCAGTATTAGTAAAATTTATAAAACAGATTTCTTAAGATTGAGGTTTTTGATATCGTAACAATTAATACTATCCTGTTATTCCCTGGAAATTATAATTGAGTTTAAGTCTCAGTAAAAGTTTGAGTCGAGGTTTACATTTCAACTACCGACTCCCCTGCAGCTTTAATAAACAGTATGAAATTATGCAGAAAACTGAGACTTACGAAATAAAGAAAACTAAAATATTTCCCTTTTTTATCTTAGTGGTTTAACGTTATTAGATTAAGCAAAACACTTTTTTAGAACTTCATTCGATCAAAGTAAAAATTAAGTGTGAATAGAATCATTTGGCTTTATGCTGTTGCTGGAGGTAAAGTAACAATAAGGCAATTTTCTCCGTTACCTGTAAGAAACGGTAGGCCATGGTAGCCTGGTTGGCAGGGCGTTTGACTCACGTTCGTGAGAACAGGAGTTCGAATCCAATGGTGATTGCATGTTAAATCTGTCGGGTCATAAAGTCTTCCATGT